TAGTTCGAGCCCAGTGACCTCGAGCTCATTTCTGCGGCGTCTCCTTCCTCCCGGCAATGTTTGGCGTTGAGTTGCATCATTGTTGCAATGTCCAGCGGTTTTAGAGTCTATTTGGGGCGTTTTTCCCTACTGTAAAGTTCTAACAACAACGTTTTGTGCTGTTCGGCAATTACCCACACCCAAACGAAGCCTGATACATGATACCCACCCGTGTACGAAGTCGATTTGTGATACCCACTATATTCGGCATTGGTTCGGCACTGACCAGCCTCAAATCGGACCCAAATCAGCGTTACCCATCACTTTTCGGCGTCAGACCAGCAAGCCTTTGGCCTTTGGAACTCGATTTTGGGAACCTGAACATCCTCGGCATCGACCCACTCCTAACCCAAGAGGTTTTAGGGGGAGTTATTAGGTAACGTATCACATAAGCTTAGTTTCGATCCAACTTAGGTGTTTCTAGTATGAACTCTAATCAAGTTTGGATGCTTTTGGATTTAGGAACCTTTCAATGAGCTTAGTAGCGGTTTGGGACTTTGTGTAAGTAGTTCTTACTTGGGGGATGTTTGTTGTTTGAATATGTATGAATTGTTTGATGCTTTCGGTGTGTTTATTATTTATTAATATGTAAGTTGATTGTGTCTTGTGAATATTGGCTAGTGATTATAAGTAGTTTGAATGAAATCATGTTGGTTCTGGTTGTTTATAACTTATTTGCTTTGCGTTGTTGGATTTGATGCTTAATGGTATTTATGAAAGCATTATGGATTATGAATGATTTTATCATTCTATGGTTGTGTTCATAAAAAGCATACTGAAATAATGTGGGAGGAATCTGTTCTGTTGCCCATGCATGTTGGACATGTCATTTCATTTTTAGCTTACTGTTTTTGGTTCTGGAAGCATGCTGATTTTATTGTGAGTTGAGTGCTGCATGGGTCATGGCCTAGAAAGTATGTAGTAGGACTCTGGTGAGAGTTTGGTCCTTAATGAAGCAAATGGGTTATGTTGTGTTCTGATTACTATGAAATTTTTAGAGTGTTGGATGCGTTTAGGGATATATGTCGGCTACATCTCTTTTGTGAATTATCTGCGCTGTGGTGTGTAAAGCATGCTGTGTTGAGAGAAGGGTGTCCTCGTGATGTTGGATGGCCATGTCTGGATGATTGATAAGGCAATCCTAATTCTCAGCCCAATGATCCAAGCTTTTGTTGAGCAAGAACCCTTGAATCAAAGAAATTAACACCTCCTTAAACAAGTTAGAATCAACCAAGAGAAAGGCTAGAAATTGATTACCTCTATGATCAAAGATCTAGAAGCAAGAATTGAGATCTTGTTCTAGAATGAGTCATTCCACAATCAAACTTGATCAAGGCTGGATTGAATGGCTCAAAATGCAATCTATCACAAGAATTGCAAGAAACCTTAGAAATGGCAAAGGGATTTCTAAAGAAAATGTCTCTTGAGAGATCAAATTTCATTCAGCTAAAATCTCCTTTTTACGTAGCTTGGATGGGGCTTTTTATAGCCATTATATGAGTGAAACCCCCAACCCTTCACTTTCCAAAATAAAACCCATAAGTAGTAATGACCACAATT